AGCAGAACTCAAGACTCATCAGAGCAGGCAACGTTTTTCCAATCTTCTATTGTCCTACTTTAGTGAGCCTGTGCAAATTGTACCCTTAGTTTCCTGTTCTTAGCTGACAGGAATGGCACCCGGTGGTCTTCTGCTGCTGTAGCCCATCGTCCTCAAGTCCTCAGAGATGCTCTTCTCCATACCTCAGTTGTAATGAGTGGTTATTTGAGTTACTGTTGCCTTTCTATCAGCTGGAACCAGTCTGGCCATTCTCCTCTGATCTCTGGCATCAACAAGGCATCTGCGCCCAAAAAACTGCCGCTCACTCGATATTTTCTCTTTATAGGACCTTTCCACAGAAGTCATTTAACACAAATCGATTAAAATAACTTGACAGACGTAAGTGTATTGAGCATTAAACAATTAAGATGTCCCAAAACATCTTAGGAATTCTGTTGTTTCAGCTCATTTTAATTAGGTAGTTTGAACAAGCAGCAAAAATCATATAGTTTTTAGTGAATATCGGAAGAAACCAGCAACTATCGACCTCCATAGTAGAAAAAACAAATACCATGGAAGTCAGTTGTTACTGATTTAGAAAAAAAAAGCAATTAATTACTTGTTTTGTGAAACTCCGGTTTCTGATGGCAAGTAAATGGTTAATAAACAATTTTTGAGTGAACTATCCCTTTTAAATATTTCTACATGTTTGCATCTTTTTAAGGCTGCTGGTTTGTCAAAGCTGGGTCAGTTGGCATTTCTATGTGGAGTTTGCATTTTCTCCCAATGTTGGCATGGGTTTCCTCTGAGTGCTCCAGTTTCCCCCACAGTCTAAAGACTTCAAGAGAATTGAATAAACTAAATTGGCCGTGTTTGGAAGAGTGTATGGGTGTTTCCCAGTAGTGGGTTGCAGCTAGAAGGGCATCCTCAGTGCTAAACAAATGCTTGATAAATAGCCGGTTCATTCCGCTGTGGCGACCTCTGATGAGGGACTAAGCCAATGCAAAATAAATGAATGATGTATCTTTTTACATATTTCGCACATCCTTTAACTACATTCTGTTATTCAGAGCATATAAGTAAAGGATTTTTACACCCCCTCACTTCTTACTCTGGCTAAACAGAAATTCTAGCCATTTTTTAGACCAAACGTCTTGTTTGCGTAACCATTTGAATTATTTATCTCTTGTTGTGCTGGTGTGTTATTGCACTAACACTATTTCGTACAGTACACACATCAACAACTCTACAAAAAAGAAAAGCACCGTGCTTTACCTTCTATAGCCTCATCACGGACATTTTTTTTCCAGAATGAGAAGTGAATCAGACTTTATGCCAACTATTACGTCTGTTTCAGTTTGTCAAGTCTAACAGGATGTCCATCACAGTCTGTTACTTGTGTTCTTATCACGTTTCGCCACTAGAGGTCTCATGTTGCACTATAGTCCAGCACAAATATTCAGTCCCATTAAAAAAAAAAGCAGATGAAGCAGCGCATTGATATTAAAGGGCCAGACCCAGCAGAGTCTCTGCGTTCACACCGCAGCCTCTCCTCTCATGATTTTTGATTTACTGTCTGGCATTAGTGTATTATTCTTCACTTCTGAAAGTTTGTGTCCTTTAAATGGATCAATAGTGTAGATGAGCGTATCAGACATAGAGAGCAAAAGGAGGGAAAAATTGTGGGCGTGATGTTGAAGCTCAATCAAGCTTCTGTTAATTCACTCTGCAGTCGAAATTACATATTGATTTTTTTTTTTTTTTTTGCATTAAACACATGCAGCACTTCACTCTCTGCTCTATGACACCAGAGATGTTTTGCTGATAGTGTAATAATATCATACTACTGGTTTTTGCACTATATCATACTACTGGTGTATCACACAATGAGCTCTCCAGGAATGTACTACAATACTTTGTTTCTTTAGGAAATATTTGATCTGACTCAGGGGCTGAACGGTGGCTCAGTGGTTAGCACTTTCGCCTTACAGCAAGAAGGTTGCTAGATCCAGTCCCGCCTTAACATTTCTGTGTGGAGTTTGCATGTATGTTGGCGTGGGTTTCCCCCAGGTTCAAAGACATGTGCTATAGTGAATTGAATAAAGTAAATTGGCTGTAGTGTATGTGTGTGAATGAGTGTGCATGGGTGTTTCCCAGTACTGGGTTGCAGCTGGAAGGGCATCTATGTAAAATATATGCTAGATAAGTTGGGGGTTCATTCTGCTGTGGCGACCCCTGATGAATAAAGGGACTAAGCTGAAGAAAAATTAATGAATGAAAGATCTGACTCAGAAAATTGGTGGATTGCAAAAATAATCAGTTATCAGATTATCAGTTTTTCCTCATATTGCTTGTCTCATGTAAAGTGGTTTATGGTAATTATGGTACACTGCATTATTCTGTCAGGTGTTTTACATCTTTTAGATTTAGCCACACTGTAAAAAAAAAAATCTGTAATTTTACGGTTTATTTCCGAAAGCTGGGGTGCCGGAAAAAAACATAAAAAACTGCCGGTAAATTACAGAAATTTACCGTAAAATAACGGATATTAAATTACAGAAATTTACCAGAAATTAAAATTTAAAACTAAAATTGGCCATAGTGAATGAGTGTGTATGGATGTTTCCTAGTACAGGGTTGCAGCTGGAATGGTATCTGCTGTGTAAAACATATGCTGGATAAGTTGTTGAATCATTTGTGGCGACCCCTGATGAATAAAGGGACTAAGCTGAACGAAAATGAATGAATGAATGAATGAATGAATGAATGAATGAATAAATGAATGAATGAATGAATGAATGAATGAATGAATGAATGAATGAATGGACATGAACAACTAATAAATATAGTTGTTGTCTTCTGTATGTTGAAAAGTGTTACATTGAAAAAGTAAAATGTTGCGTTATAAATGTCTTTAGCATCATTATTAATCGTTCTTTATTGAGTAAAACTCTACATTTCTGTCAAAAACCCAAACTAAATGAATTTCTACAGCCCAGGAATGTGATTATATAACCAATTTTCACTCTGACTTAACCAGAGACACTTGCAATATGTACGTGTTTGAGTGAGAGACAGACAGGAAGTGCGCTACATGTGTTCAATTAAATGCGGGCGCACAGGTTCCACTCTGAAGCTGTGTCAGTGGGCCAAGAGACTCTGGGATGTTTACTCACCACTGTTAGGAAACTAGGACACCAGTCCCAGCTGAGCTGTGTGTGTGTGTGTGTGTGTGTGTGTGTGTGTGTGTGTGTGTGTGTGTGTGTGTGTGTGTGTGTGTGTGTGTGTGTGTGTGTGTGTGTGTGTGTGTGTGTGTGTGTGTGTGTGTGTGTGTGTGTGTGTGTGTGGTGTGTGTGTGTGTGTGTGTGCGTGCGTGTGCGTGTGCGTGTGTGTTTGTGGTGTGTGTGTGTGTGTGTGAGTGTGTGTGTGTGTGTGTTTGTGTGTGTGTCTGTCTGTATGAGTGTGTGTGTTGGTCTCTGTGTGTGTGTGTGTGTGTGTGTGTGTGTGTGTGTGTGTGTGTGTGTGTGTGTGTGTGTGTGTGTGTGTGTGTGTGTGTGTGTGTGTGTGTGTGCCTGTCTTTGTGTTGGTGTTTGTGTTGGAATGTGTATGCTTGTGTGTGTCGGTGTGTGTTTGTGGATGTCTGCTTGTGTGCGTGTCTTTGTGTTTGTTTCTGCGGTGGTGTGTATGTTTTGTGTCTGTGCACATGTGTGTTTGTGTTTGAGTGTCTATGTGTCAATGTTGTGTTTGTATTTGTGTGTGTCTGTGTGTTGGTTTCTCGGTGTGCATGTCTGCGTTGGTTTCTTTGTGTATGTTTGAGTTTCTGTGTGTATGTGTGTGTGTTTGTGCATGTGTGTGCCTGTCTTTGTATTTTTGTTTGTGTGTGTATGTGCGTGTCTGTTTTTGTGTGTGTCTTTGTGTTTGTTTCTGTGCTGGTGTGAGTATATGTGTTTTGTGTCTGTGCTTATGTGTGTATGTGTTTGTGTGTCTGTGTGCCAGTGTTTGTATGTGTTTGTGTGTGTGTATGTGTATGTGTATGTGTTTGTGTGTGTGTGTGTGTGTTTGTGTGTATGTGTTTGTTTGTGTGTGTGCCTGTTTTTTTGTGTGTGTGTGTGTGTGTGTGTGTGTGTGTGTGTGTGTGTGTGTGTGTGTGTGTGTGTGTGTGTGTGTGTGTGCGTGCGTGTGTGTGTGTCTGTCAGTGTGCCGGTGGTTTCTTTTTCTGTGTGTGTTTGAGTTTGTGTTTGTATGTGTTCATGTATGTGTGTGTGTGTGCCTATCTTTGCATTGGTGTGTGCTTTGGTATGCGTATGCTTGTGTCTGTGTGTCGTTGTTGGTGTGTGTGTGTGTGTGTGCATGTCTCTTTGTGTGCGTGTTTTTGTGTTTATTTCTGTGTTGGTGTGTGTGTGTGTGTTTTGTGTCTGTGCATATGTGTGTATGTGTTTGTGTGTCTGTCTGTGTTGGAGTCTGTGTCAGTGTGTTGGTGTGTGTGTGTTTCTGTGAGTGTGTGTTTTTGTGTGCATGCGTGCGTTTTTGTGTACATGTGTATGTACATGTATATAAACTTTTGTATGTGTTTTTGCACATGTGCTTGTGTCTCTGTGTGTGTGTGTGTGTGTCTGTGTCTGTTTGTGTGCATGTGTGTGTGTGGATTGTCACAACTGTCTGCAGAAAGAGAGAGAGACATGGATGTTAGCCAGATGCTGAGCTGACCTTCTAATCACTCAGATGCCCATAGAGAAACATTGCAACTACATCTCTCTCTCTCTCTCTCTCTCTCTCTCTCTCTCTCTCTCTCTGTTTTTCTCTCTGATTGCAGACCTACATATGAGCTAGCGAGCTAATTGGTCCCAGTGGAACATCGGTTTTGTCATTTCAGTTGTTGTGAAAGCGACACGGGCGCACAAACACACTCATCCCATTCCAAAAACTTTCTAGGGCAAATTTTCATGGACACGCCATGCACGCGTCTTACTGTCGACAAAATGATCACGACGCTTGTAATCTGTGTGTTTGTGTCTCTCTAGGATAGCTGCGCGAGAGTGTTGCTGTTCAGAGGGGCGAATAAGGAGATTAAGAACTACAACAGCCAAACTGCCTTCCAGGTGAGAGCGCAAGACTTTCTGGAGATCAAACACTGAGCAGAAGTCAGTGGAGCTGGATCTGATTTAAAGCCATGCTGTTGTTCACAGTCCAGCCACCTAAAACTGGAATATAAATATAAATGCTACAGTTGAAGTCAGAATTATTGTACCTTCTGAATTATCAGCCCCATCTGTATACTTTTCACCAATTTCTGTTTAACAGAGAATTTTTTTTCAACACATTTCTAAACATAATAGTTTTAATAACTCATTTATAATAGCTTATTTATAACTGACCTTTATATATAATATCTGACTAGATATTTTTCAAGATACTAGTATTCAGTTTGAGGCGCAACTTAAAGGCTTGTCTAGGTCAATTAGGCAGGTTAGAGCAGTTAGGCAAGTTAATGTATAACAATGGTTTGTTCTGTAGACAATCAAAAACAAATATTGCTTAAAGGGGCTAATAATTTTGACCTTAAAATAGTTTTTAAAAATTAAAAAATGCTTTTATTCTAGCTGAAATAAAACCAGTAAGACTTTCTCCAGAAGAAAAAATATTGTAGGAAATACTGTGAAAAATTCCTTGCTCTGTTAAACATAATTTGAGAAATATTTGAAAAGAAAAATCACAGGAGGGCGAATAATTCTGACTTGAGCTGTATGTTTTGAGAGTTTACTGTGGGATTTTTAATGCTGGGAGGACATTTGTATACCTCCTACTTATATTACATTGAAAAGAGGATCAATTTGACAGTTTTCCATATTTTGTCATTTTTATTCTGTACTATTATTATTTATTGAGCATTATGGGACCTTGATGTTTCCTCCAACAACTTTTGATATTGAAACGTTTGAAAAAGTGAGTTTTATTGATATTTATAATAGTTTGAAGTGATATATTGTCTGGGTTGGTATTTTAGTAATTACTGTACAAAGCATCCACACATATTATGTATTCTACATATCTTCTTTCTTTTGCAATATATTGTTTCAAATTTGTATAATGTCAATAAAAGTCACTTTGTCAAAATTCAGAGCTGAATTTTCAAAAATCCCTGTTAAACAAAGAAGTAATTTTGTAATTTTGTGAATTATTATTATTTAAAACTGTTAAGGATATATATGAACATATACGCCATGTGATGGCAGTATTGCATGTGGTACAGTTAGCGCAACCAGTAGAATTTGAAGATACTCTCGGATATTAAAATGCACTCGACCGTTAATGACTGAAAATGAGTCAGGCAAAAAATTTATAAATAAAATTCTCTGAATGTCTGGTGTTTAAGGAAGAATGGACAAAATACTTCTTCACCAATATCGGACAGAAAGCGATGTCTAATATGCCAAGAAAGAATTGCTGTTTTTAAAGACTTAGGGGCTGATCACACAGAACGCTCTTTATGCGTTAAAAGGCGCCTCTTTTTAAAGGTATACTAGCGACCGCGAGGGTTTTGCGTGATGCGCGCCTCGAGTGTTACCGCCTGCTGCGCCTCGCAGCATAAAATATCTTTTCCCTTTTATTATTATTATTATTATTGTTATTATTATTTTTTTTATAAGGGATTATTTTAATGTTTTATAATGATTGATAAGTAAATATAAATAGCAGTGTAAATTTGACGTAATAATATTTAAAACAATCATTAGTTTTTGTGTTAGTGTGACATGTTTCTGCCCAATATTACATGTTTTATGAATACTGCCACTATAAATAAAAGTTT